AGTAATCAAAGCTAAAGGTCCAATTAAATACTAGACAGAGACTTTTTTTGTGTAAAACAGTTCGTTTGGTTCCTGATTTTTGTGGAATCTCATCATAATAAAAAGTAGACTTGTTAATATTACATTTGAAGCATTATGTGAACATTTCTTCTCATATCTAGTTTTTGATTGTTTCATATAAGACAAACAAAACACTCGAGAAATTTTTAGTAGCTTTTTGTCCTAAAATGTAAATACATACCAGTAGAACCTTAGTTTTTAGAAACTGACCCACAGAGTTTTTTTATTTTACATAAATAAGTGCAGTAAACGCCTGTTAAACCTGTGGTTTAATCAAACAGATTCATTAATTCCAGTTTATTTGACACTTTGCTCCGGCTGCTTTGCCTTCAGAGGAGTTTTTGCAAACYTTTAGCCCCCCGAGCCCACAGAGACCACAAACATCTACAGACTGCAGCTAACACCAACCCAAAGACATCTGCACACATGACAGATCTGAGAGATAAGAGAGCATGATGTTCCACAGAACCCACCACCACCATCACCATCATCATCATCATCATCATCACCATCATCATCATCATCTTCATCACTCTGGACTGAACTCTGATGCTGCTCAAGACCGCTTTGGATTTTTTTAAACAAGTTTCTGTAAGTGAGGAGGGTGAAGTGGTCCTAACACAGATGTGATCAGCTCAGGTCCGGAGATAAAATTAATTCTGATCCAAATTAAAATGAGATTAGAGTCAGGTGTGTTAAAGTTTGTTTTAAAGTGCTTTAAACTGTCATGATTGTAAGTGCCCGTACAATCATAAAATCTGGTTTTGAAACACGGTTTAAGCAGAAATTTGTGAAATTCTTTGAAACGTCAAACATAAACGTTGATGCTTTTAATGCATATTTTTATTTAATAAGAAAATCAGTTAAATTGTTTAACAAACTTATTTCTTTTTGTCTCACAGGAGCTGTACTGCTGTGTAACAGTATCCTGTCATCTGCTGTCTTATTTTAGTTAATATAAATAAAATAACATCTTTGCTTAGTTATAAATCCAGCAAACAAGAGAACGTAAAGAAGAGAGAAACTTCAAAAAATTTGAAAAAAAATAGTTCCTTTTAAAAAAATGACCTTAAATCTAAAAAAATAAAATAAAATTCAATATCCGAAAGGAAATGGTTGCAGTTACATATCTACACCAGTAGATGGCAGAATAAGGCAACTGATAAACTGAATGTATTCAGTGAATGAGCTGCAGCTTTTAGTCATCTTTTAAAAACTGGAAGCACAAAATGATTATTACAAAAAATACAATTAATGTAAGTTCTATCAAAGTTTATTTTTTATGTAAAACTGTTGTTTAATTCATGTCAGATATTGTGGAATGGCACCAATTCAGCATTTTTAATAAAACTTTAAAGAACGTTGGTTTTATTTTTTCACATTTTGTATTAAGCTACTTCTACAGACATATTTCTTCAGCCTGATGTCACCTTTGATAAACATAAATATATACGCATATTTAGTGGCTGAAGGTCATGGGGTCATGGTGAATTTTAGTGTCCTCCTTGATCATTTTCCATGATCCAGAGCTGCCAGATGAGCCGATCAGTTCATGTTCAGTGCTTCTATAAATGAACAGCTTCGCTCTGCAGGGCTTCTATATTAGTCATCTCTGTGTTCAGGCAGATAAAAAAAAAAAAAAAACTTCAAACTTACCACACATCCATACCTCAAAGCCAAACCTGTGCTCTACTGTGTGAAAAAAAAAAAAAAAAAAACTTCAAACTTACCACACATCCATACCTCAAAGCCAAACCTGTGCTCTACTGTGTGTCATCTTTTGTAATGCTTTTTATTATCCGGAGCAGCAGAGTAGCTGCAGCATTTTAAGATAATGTTGCCTGCACAGTTCAGATATGAAGCTGCAGGTTTCAGAGGCTCAGAGGCGTCAGCTGCAAACGGACCTGACAGATCCTGTCTCTGATGCACTGAGTCATTAATCCTAAAGATGCTCATCGTCACAAAGTCATTTCTGCATTAAAAACATTTAACTATCACTTCTACAGGATGTAAAACTCTTGGTAAAAACAAGCTAATCAGAATTACTGGTGTTTTTAAAAGTTTCACCAAAAGAAAAGTGTGCACTGTTATTTATTATTATTAATAATGTTTGCTTAATTTGGAGTAATGGACAATGCAATGCTAGCTACAAATGACTGGGACCAGAATAGTTCTTCATAGAGACTGATTAATGTGAATAATGAGTGGAAAATTTGAATATTTGAAAAATGTACAAATTTTGAGGGGGTTGAAAGTTCAAGAGTCTGTTTAAGACTTTGTTTCAGTATTTTTGCGGTCGGTCGGGGTTGGTCAGTCGGTCGTTCGTTCATTTCCCCAAAATTCTTTGTGGTTCTCCTTCTTTTTGACAGTTCAGTTTTGTCCACATCCTCCCAGGACTAGAATTTAATCTGGAAATTATCAAAAGTAGGGGAAAAAAACAAAGAAAAAAGCTCCTACCAGCTGCCATCAGTTCAATTTTCATATGGATGCAGAAAAAAAAAACCGGTCCTGTAAAGAGTCAGAGCAATATTCAACATCAGTTCAAATTCAATCATTAATTCAAATCAGTTTACATGCAAACATTGATACAATACACACTTTAAATAACTAAACAAGCAGTCCAGTAATCATATGGGTTTTCAATGCAGAATTGCATTGGAAAACTTGTTAATTTAACTGCGCAGTTATATTTAAAAAATACTACTTCCGGTTAGCATGTCTATCCCAAAATGAGTCGAAAATAAATAAACTGAACCCAAAATCATTTAGGAATGATAGCCGAAAGGAAGGGCACATCTTTTCAAATTAATCGGTGTGCAAGTTGTCCAGGTGCAACTTAAGAATAAGGGTTCAATTAAACTTCAAATCTGAAAACAAACCTTTTTCTAACGGAGTTCGGCGGTCACGGTAGCAGCGCAGCAAAGCATGATTTTAAACAGCCAAACTAAATTGAATGCTACTTTAAAAGACAAACATACAAAGCTTACAGCGGAGTCAAAGGTGTAGTTTTATGTTTCGAAGGATTTTGAAAAGCAATCAGTGGTCAGTTCTGCTTAGAAGCAGTAAGTGTGTTAAAGCTGATTTTATGTTAAAATGGCCTGCCAAAGTGGGAGCTGCTCCACTCCCCAGTTACCGCAGTGAAGTTAGTTTCAAGTTGGATATTCGATATTCGAGCTCCGTGAATCAAGGGTTGTCTCCCTCTTGTCTAAACCGGTGAAAGCGGTCTGACGTCGGCCAGCAGCCCTCCGGCTGCTCGCTCATCTACAAGCGGTGGTTCGCTTAGGGATCGTCAATAAATTACCGACCGAAAAATATGTGCAGGAAAAAAATTCAATAGCTTCCAGGCCATGTGACCCAGGCACATGAAACATATGTCAAACTGTTCAGCTACATGAGACACATAAGGCACACTCCTTTTTATTTTGATTTTATTGCTTTTACTATTTTTGAGTAATTTTTAAGTGTAAAATTGAGGTTTTCTTTCAATACCTTCCAGA